ACAAAAGTGGGTACACAAGAGCATGGGTACCCAAGGTTGTTGTATGGGTTGGGGAAGCTGCACAAGGATATGCAAGTGGCCAACATGGCAAGTGTATAGAGAGATTGGAGGGAGAGCTCCTGGCGGGGGAGACTTATCCAAGCAGGTTGTTTGTGCAAGCTTTCCACAAAAAAAGTCAGTAGGGAGGCCAGATGAAAGATGGAAATTGCTCTCTCTTCTATTGCTTTTTTGCCCACCCATGGTCATTCTGTTGATCTGTTTAGGTAAGTCAACATCTGTGAAATGATAACACAACTGAAAATCAATAACCCAATGTGTCATGAATAGTTAGTATTTTATAACTGTGTATAAGCAATTTGATATTATTTTTATTTTTAAATAACAAAAGAATGGACTACAGATTTTTTACTCACACAACAAAAAAACCCCAATTCATTAATTTTAACTTTATAATTTTTATGTTAATTATACATTATAGAATATAGTATAATGAAAGATCTACCAGTGACAAAGTAATCTTAGGGTATAGCATTTCCCCAAATTTCAATTTATTTGAGAATTACATTTGCAGAAATATCTTCCAGAAGCATTATTATCAATAATAAAAATATATCTAGTCTTAATATATTTATTAAATTTAAAGAATATTACTATTTAATCTATTTGTATTAGGAAAGTTCCTTCTCTTTTAATGGTACCATTTCTTTGCGATCCTTAGAGGGAGGGGGATGAAGAGAGAGAAATACTATAGTGACTGGGCAAAAGTCAAAGAAATTAGGATGGGATAGCTGGCATGCCTTATTAGATAGACGCAACACTAAACAACAAGTTCTATTTTGCATTTGAAAAGAAATTTCTGCAAAGTTTTTCCACAACTATCCCCATGTATAGCTTATACATATTTGGCCATTAAAACCCTTAAAGTTGAGTAAATACAATGCAAGAAGCAAAACAGCACAGTTAATATAATGGAATGTATATCAGAAGTTGCATTTTGATAGAAAAATTATATTTTCTGAATATATACTCCTTTCAATACATTTAGTTAATACTTTCAGTGAATGCAATATGCAATATTTAAGTTTTATCTCACAATGTTTTATATGCAAAATGGTTAAATTTGTGTAAATGTTAATGCTCTCCAGACCTGCATACACTGTACCCAACAGCCGTTTATATAGTGCAACAGCACCCTTAAAAAGTATACTATAGCAACATTAACATCTGTTGATTTGATTCTAGCGACATACAAAACTATAGTGATAAAATAAATATTACATCTGAGCTACCAAAGTGCATAAATATCTATTTAATCTTTATCTCTACTATTTATTAGTATTGCAGACCTTTGCTTGGATGCTGATGCCTTCATATGGAGACAGGTTGGAATCATGTAATTTTAGTTCTTTGTTAAAGGATCCCATTTCCTTTAAAAAGCATAACAATTAATGCTGTTTTAAGCATTTAACAAAGCTTTTCAGTAAACTTTGAAAATATGCTTTTGAACCAGGATTTTTAAATATATATTTATATTTTAGTTTGATATTATCCATGTAATTTAGAAACTGCCTTAGGATATGTGGTAATTTGCAAATACATATTTAAACAGAGTATTATGAAACTAATTCTCTGGACAACTATCTTAAACACACACATACACACACACACACACACACACACACACACACATACTCAACACACCCAAATATATATATAAAAGATAAATATGGGAGCACGCAGCAGAGGAAAGATGTTAAATTGCAGCCGATGAAGCCCCGCCTCCATGGTAGGATACACAATGACATCAAACTAAACCCCCCCACTGCAACGAGAGCCAATACTGCCGGGAGAGGGCGGAACATAACTTTAACAATACCCCCTGAGGTCGACGGAAATGTGAACAAAAGTGCTCGAGAGAACGACAGAAGAAATCTTTACTCCGATTCCCCCCCCACCTATCAGCTGTTCAGCAGGGAATGCTAGCACAGTCTAGGAACCACGCGCAGACGTCTATGGAACCCGTTTGAATCACCTTGTTAGAAACGGTCTCTCAGCCCTGAAGATGTTGGGGAGTTTTCCCAACGAAAGCTTGGCAACCTTTTAATATAGTAAAATACTTTAATTGAAGTATTTTAACTTTAAACTCTCCTGGTGAACGCGCTTTATTCATTCCATTTATATATATATATATATATATATATATATATATATATATATATATATATATATATGTATGTATGTATGTATGTATGTATAATTTACTGAAATGTACTTGAGTTTTAGACCTCATTTTACTTAATTACCTATTTTATAAAAGGAAATTACAAAGAAAATGTTTTCTTTTGTAATCAAGAATCAGGAACAATATTACATTTTGCAACATCAAAACTTAGATATTAATTACTTTTCGGGAGAAGAAGAAGGTTAAATCAGGCTCTATCACTGTTTTTTTTTTCTTGGAATAGATTATTAATTTCGCAGTCAAAAAACTGCTTTGAAATATATGTAGATCTGGGTAAATACATATGGAAATTAAAATGTCAAAGTCTGAACTACAGTGCAAACATTCATTTTATATGATTCATATTTTATATTAGAGTGAAAATATTATGCACAAAATGCAAAGCTTACAAATCAATTAAAGACTAAAAAAAATCACAGAGCAATTTGATTTTTGGTTGTTCTACAAAGTCTGACAAAAACAAAATATTCAACTGAATTAATAGTAGGATTAGGTTTATAACAAATTTGATCCCATGATTGTCTCGAAACTACTAGTTTCACCATGAATGCTGTCATTATACAGCATTCATTTTTCACCACCTGTTTAACCATTAATGCTATCACTGAGAAAGTCTTAACTATCAGAGCCAAGGAATTAATGAAAGATATGTGCCTCAAACTTTACTTAGCTTACATTTTTAATATAGGTAGTAGTTACTAATCATATATTTCTCACAACAAATGTAAAAAAAAAAACCTTTATTTTGAAACTTTTACCAAGATCAGTTTTTGAAAGAACAGAAATGTTAAAATCTCCTCCCTCTCTCAATTCTGGAACGCTTCCAACAGAATATATTCTTTTAGCAGTTTCTCTGGCAGCAAGCCGGCAGGAGAAGTATTCTTACAAAATGAACACAGAGAGACACTCAACTGCAAGTTATCATTTAATGCTTCAGTTGACATCACTGAAGTTTAAAATTAAGAACCCTATTTAATAAACAATTTACTTGGATTCTAATTATAACAGCTGTATCTCCATCAATCTTCCATTTTAATTTTTAATTCTAACAAGTTTTTCTAAACAATAACGTTTAAAGTGCTATTATACAGTATTTTGATCACTGCAAAATCAGTTTGAAAAAGATTAAAGATTGGCTGGGAAAACAAACTCCCATCATGAAATGTGATGAACACATAGCATTATTCAAGTATTTTAATAATCAGAATCAGGATGTAGACATTGAGCTAATTTACACGGGTAGCTTTTCAATAGTTGAAATAGCCTTTTTAATATTTAGTTATCCAATGCTAACAGATCTGTTTGAGTTTGAAAAGCAAGAATGAAGAAAGCCAGCAGCAGTATAAGAAGTCCTCATTTAGCAACTGCTTTGTTTAGCCACCATTTGCAGTTACACAGGTGTTGAAAAAATAAAGTTTATGATCAATCCTTGCATTTGCTGGTTTATAAAACAAACAAAAGCTGAAATAAGATCATAAGCACAGTTACAATTTCACTTAACAAGTTGCTGGTCCTAATTGTGGTTGCTAAAACATATGGGTTACTACCCATACGTCACAGAAAATATATGTTTCATGACAGATATGTTCACTGAAAATACCCTACCGTCTCTTCCATCACCAATCAGATCAATGGTAAATAGCTAAGGAAACATCTATTCTTCACTGTTGATAACCATAACCCTTATGTCAAAAGTTCAAAATCCAAGCTTTCTGTGACTCTCAGAAGTTATCAAATTGATGTTTTAATGGGGCAAAAAGAGAAAATTATACATGGCAACACTAATCAAACCAATTATTATACATTCAATTTAGTCTGGTATTTCTTGGAAAGCAACCCCAACCTATCTAAAGTTCAATGTATATTTGTACCCCTTGCCCACACAAAATCAGCATTTTGTCAGTCCTTGACAAATAGTATCTATACACAACTTGTGAGATATCTAATTTCTGAAAACAGTCTTTCAAATCAAATTTTATCTCCTTCCAGATAAAGGGAAGGATCCAACAATTTGGTTCTGCTGATTGAAGCGGTTTTGCAGACGAAAATAAAGCATACCTTTCTATACTTTGCAATTCCGAAGTCTTAATTCAAAATCTGCTTTGGAAATCATCTAAACTTTTACAGCATATCAAGGGCTGCAAAAGTAGAAAGGAGAAAAAGAGGTATTGCCGGCTATGCAATCTATCTATCCCAAGATTTCAGATATGAGTGTTTAAAGAAACTATTTATTGTGTTCCTTTTTCCTTTTTTTAAAAAAAAAATAATATTCCACATATCCTTAGCTTTCCTATCAATACTACATCCTGAGCTGCTTTTCAATATGTTAATCAGAAACACATTATATTTTTAAAAGTTTCCGCACAGTTTCCCAAATTAGCTACTGAATATACTGCAAGTAATCTCTGGATTATTAATGATATCCTCTCTGCAAGACACACTTTTCTCAAGTGTTATTTTAAAGAATCATTAAATGCTAAATAGCTTTTTTGGCCTATCTCTTATAAAATGTTATGTGACACCATGTATGTAAAAGCATTAGGAGAGGTAAACTACTGTTTAGTTTGACAGTTACTTTAATGACTTTTCTAAATGCAACATCCAATTATCGATTTCCATTCCTGAACAGAATTTGTTTCTTTACTGTCTGACACTCTAATTTCTGGCTTCTATGAATTAAGTAAGGCAACACTTCCATTAAAGAGGCATTTGTTAAAAACAGTAAAAGAGCAACTATGTAAATATGTTTTCTACTTACGTTCACATGTGTCTCCTTTTTGCTGGAAGCCAGCTTTGCAGATACACTTCCCAATTGGGACTAACCATTCTCCCTCTGCACTACAATGCATTCTAGGGGAGTTTTCGGCTTCTTCTTCCGCACTACTGACGCAAGTTCCTCGGACCTCAACTAAGGAGGAGAACTCTGACCCAGTTACTGTGTCTGGAAAAATCGCTAAGTTCTCAATAATGGACCAGCACTTCTTATAGTACACTTTGACAGAAACCAGAGCAATGCAAGCCCCTACATCCTGAAATGCAAGGTAGAATCCTTTCTTGGACAGAGGTCCGATCTCTCTCACTTCTGTATTAAGTTTCATTTTTCTCTCCCCAAGGTCACCTTGGGTAAAGCTTTCATCAGCTGCAATAGTGTCTATTTTTACATACTGGCTTTCTCTGATACTCCTTCCAGTGTCATAGTCTGTTTCATAATAATGCAAGTTGAACGTTTCTTTACATGTCCCCAGGACTCCAGGAAGGCTATTACAATCCCTCAGAGTGAATTTTAGTTCTACAAAAATCCTTTGTGCATTGCCTTTCGTGATCCAATTAGTCCTTAGCCAGTTATTTTGGTTGGGTTCCATGACTTGGCATACCTGGTATGTTCGTATAGGCGTGTAGTTTTCATCCAGTCCGCTAATTTCTTCCCACTGAAACATAAAATCATAGTTATCCATACTGAGATAAACTTTTCTAATAAAGAAAAATTAAACAACAAATATAGTACAAGATTATGTACTATATTTATCACATCAAGTAATAATTAACATATATTAACATCAAGTTGTTTTTGATTACCAGTGACCAAAAGCGTATGTTTTAACAACTTACATTTTTTTAGCATGAAATGAGAAACTTTTTTTAAAAAATGGAAGGGAAGGATATGATCCAATGCCTAATAGAATAAATTTATAGGCAGAGAGCAGATGTGGCACGTATTAAGCATCCCTAATTTGAAGTATTAATTCTAGTGTGAACAACCAATATGGTGATGGTAGTATCTTTCCACCCTACAAAAAGTCTATAAATAAAGTAAAATGTTAAAAACATGAAATTAGCATACTACTTAGACAACAATATAGTCAATGTGGAGGAACTTCCAAAATATTGCAGTAGCAATTCTCTAAACAATGGGTCACATTCTTATGTTGAGGTAAACTATTATTTCTGCAGGTCCAAAATAAGTGGTTCAACATAAGAAAATTTATTTCATTTTCCACCAGCTTCTTAAGAAGGGTTATTTTTAAAATTCAGTTGAGTATTCAGATCTATTCCAACAATTGTTCTATAAGCGTTTCAACTGTATTTTCTAAGGACTAAAATTTAAACCCATTTGGTAGAAAGAAAAATCACATGGAACTCTACTGGCCAGCTCCAGAAACAGTAGGATTCCAAGTTGATTGTAGGGCATGGTAAACTTTATTGGAGTCTTTACCAATGTATGTACATATATACATAAAATTCTATAAATGAGTGTTTTCTATTGCATCAATTTGGGATATATGAAAATAACGTATCCTCAAAATTTTCTTATGTGCAAGAAATGTAACACTCTAACTATAATGTCAGAATTTTACATGCAGGCGAAATCAGTTATCAAGTTTATTTTTTAAAAAATGTAATTTTGTTTTTTCCCTTAGAAAAAAAACTGAACAGTAAATTTTCACATAAACTCTTAATCACAAAAACAGCCATTTCTGAGTTAATTGTTTTATTCTCTATTTACCTATTTTATTTACTAACCAATATCTAAATTATTGATTCATGGGTTTTTTAGTCATTCAACCAACTCATTAAGCTTCCTGGTCCATATTATTTCTACTTAAATGGACATGTATAACTTTACATAAATGGAGTTCATAGAACAAAATTTTCTTTTGCTTTCTCTCACTCCGCCAATCTCCCAGCCCCACCCCACTGTGCCCACTATAGAAACATTACATTACAGAAACATAACTGAATATAGTCCAGATTTTTTTTTCCTGAAAGAAGAAATAAACAGTACTTGTAAGTAATAAGAGTGTTAGTTCATAGGTAAGATTATCCTCAATCTTAATAAAAGTAATTTGTCCAAAACATGAAGAAGTAGCTAATTGAGCCTTAGTAATTTTTTTAGCAAACTAAAAAATAAATATTCCTATAATTCACTTTTATAACTATTTTTCCTGAAACAGCTTGAAATTATGAAATGCCATCTTGGATGAGCTATTGCATGATCATAACATTTTGGATGGGTTATATGTAACATGACTAACCTTTTTAAACTGAAATAATCTATTTTCAAATAAAATAGAATAATTTTAACTGACATTAGAATCAGTTTTATATTTCAAATTTACTCAAGTAAATCTTAAATCGTCAATGTATTTCATTCTAATATAAACAAACTGAAGTTGAATTACCAAAAACGGCAAATATTTAACCACTAGTAGGGCTAGTTTTCAAAGTAGCTATATGAATCTAGAGTTAAATTTAATTATATTTACAACATTTTGCTGATATTAAGTATAATCGTTGTATCTGATATACTACTGAAAATTGTGTAGCATAATAATAAAAATATTTGGTAAATTTTACATTGTGTCCTAAATATTACATGTCTTGCAAGTTCAATTGATTATTTAGGACTCTGTACCTGTAATTCAAGCAATAAGGAAAGCTGACTTAATGCCATTATTGCCATCACAACACTGACATAAGCATGGATAATAATGGCTATTTTCCAGATTCTCTCTTCACCAAGTTATATTAAATACTTTCATAATCCTAACATTAATCACTACTGATTAATCATTATTGATCAAATACAGTTGTAGTTGATGCCAGAAAAGAAAACAAAGGCAACATCAGTACCAGGACAGGGAAGGAGCTAAGTGTTTTAGACATTAATCCTGATTACTTAATAATTAATAAATTACGATAGGCATAAAACCATGCTCATTCTTACTTGCCACTTAATTATTAATAAATCACGGAACGCAACTATTAACTAAGCACAACACATAGTGTTTACACTCTAAAGGTATAGAAATTCTTTCTTTACTGAACTGTATTCTATGAAAAGCATATTAAAAAAAACATTAATCAGATCACTGATTTTTAATAGGACATATTTGTAAGTGTAATTTAAACAGTCAGTAACTATTTCTGTATAGTATATACCCTGGATGAATGGAAACCTTCTAGATCTTCTGCAACTCCCACATACAAATTATCAGAGTTGCTGAGAATCAATGGCATGCTTTCTTGTCAATTACAATGAATAAATGTTACAAAACTATTAAAGTATTATAACAACTTTAATATTTTAAAATAGTATTTTTTAAAAAAATACTTTTGGATTACTTTTCAACTTTTTTACCTCCCTCTCTCTGAACCATGCATATGCTTTTATTGTTTCAAAGCTGGACTATCACAGTTTATTCTGAAATTGTTCTAATCCTCTTCTTAAAAGGCTTCCTTCAGTGTGAAGTGCTAATACTTAACTTAATTCTCATCTTAAGCATTCAGCTAACGTTTCATACATTCCAAAAGTCATTAGACTTGTTTCCACCCAGTGCCTGGATTGATTTTATGATCTTGCTTTTTAGTTAACAGACTTTCAAGTTTTCATTCTTTTTATTTACAGGATTTGTCACACTTCTACATCCCCACTCAGAATTTACTTTGTTTGGGTTCCAGATTTCCTTATAAGTGCCAGATTAAAGGCTTCATTGTATAAACCTTTATTTGAAACTTGTATTAATATGAATTACTCTAAATGATAGGCAGTAGAAATCCACTTACAATAATCAAGCTTCAAAAAGAATTTAGAAAATACTGTACTTATTTGATTGCAGTTTCTAAACCTGATGTATTCAGTCGTATGATATTACAGCTACTTAAATAATCTTTGAAATAACTATATATTATTCAAAATTACACTCTGTCCTTTCACTACAAGGGCTTTACAAATATTCTTACCATATTAAGAACTGAAGCAGTAAGAGTAAATGAGTTCCAAGTCTGAAAGTTAATTATTTAAAGCAATAATGAAACAATTATTTATAAGGATATTTTCAGAAATCAGCAAGATAACCTTGCTTTGAAAAATTGTCAGTTAAAGATACAAATTTCTGCCTTAAAGCCAGCAAATTTGGCCTTGAATTTAGAAACTTTACAAGAATGTTTAAGTACCTGAAATATTAATTATAATGTATTAATAAAATGTAATTATATAATTACATAGAATGATACAAATAATATTCAAAATTATGATCAGTAAAGCTGTTTTTAAGAATGAAAATTGAAATATTACTCAAGATTAAAAAAAGTTGAGGTGTGCCGCAGCTTAAAGAATTTAACAGCTAAAAAAATATCTATTATTAGTTTATATCTGAATCACAATGCTTTTCACAACAGAATTTTTTTCACCATAAGTTTTCTTCAAGGAATTTTGAGAAAATTAATTTAAACTACCATTCTGATTTTGGATTTTGATTTAAATGGTACGCTTACCCCATTGGGAGGAGAAGAAATCCATTCCAACTCTGTCTGTTGTGCTTTAGAATCCAGCAATATTACTGCAAGAAAAAAAATATCTATGTATTAAAATATTTTAAGAATTGTACACTCATGCTGACATTGTGTAAGTTAAGGGCATTAAACTACTTTGCCTCCAGGTTTTTATTCAAGAAGAAATTAATATCTTAGCAGCTGGTTGAACATACTGAAAAGTAACTGATTTCACAAGGATACTTTAGTAGGTAATATAAACCAAAGGAAATGTAAAGGAAGTGGCCGGGATCTCCTTTATACTGGAATGCCTTTATAATAGTAACTTTTTAAAATGAAATCTATTCAGCTTTTATTTCATGACACAAACTTCCTAAGTAAACTAACTTATGTACTATTCTAAATGAAATGTAATATTTAAAGTCTTTTCTGACTTTTACTCCAATTTACAACATAAACATAAAAGGATTAGTATATCAGTAACAATATTCAGTTTTCACATTATTCAGCAAAGAATGCATCTAAACAAAACTATAAAACTTTGTTGACACATTACTTCTGTTGTTTTATAAGACGTCCCAAACTGTTGGTCAGTGCTGAAACTGCTAACAATCAGATTAATAATTAAAATATTATTTCAACAGCATCACTTTGTGAACCATTTATATTAATCTGATATTTATTCATGATTTGTTATCATAACTACATTTTGTCACCTACCATACTAAGAAAAAATATTTCAATTAACAATTTAATATAAAACATATGCATGTATTCTACTAGTTAGTAATAAATTCTATTAACACTTTGCACAAATATATAGATGCTCTCCATTTTAAATTTAAAATACTTTTGTAATTGTAACATTTGACCCTTAACCTATATAAAACAAATCTTGATAATAATAAATGGAATATTCAAGACTGGATTTCTTAAGCATTAATTTTATAATACTTTAATAATAACAATAATAATTTAGTTAAAGAGGATTATATCATAGTCTGATCTCATGTGCATATAAAAGTTAAAAGTTACAATGATTTCAAAGGTATTTTCAAATAGGCATAAAGAGTTGCAGTCTTACATATTGTGAAATATACTGAAAAAACTCATGTGTAGCTTTGATATAATTTTATGCTTTCTCAGTGAAGGAAGTTAGGCTTCATACAAAAAGCATCATTTCTACATAATTACACTGCTAATTAATCCAGATACTGTAGCTAAGGGATTCTTTCTATGGTGTTTACAGTTTCTAAAAGAAATTGATAAAAGAGTTATATGTATTGGGTTGCTATTCAAAAACCAGGCTAATAAGTTCAGCTAAAGAAAAGGCATTCTACATGTTAACCACTCTACACCCTTGAAACAGACTGAAGAGCAATTGTAATGTTTTAATACTTTACACATTCATAGTACTCAAATTAAACCAATTCCAAAACTTAAAGTGAAAACTAAAAACTTTTTAAATCTTCCTGAACATGCAAAACTATAATTTTAATAGTATTAATGTGTGCTGAAAAAGGTAAAACTCTCTTCTAGGATACTGAAAGATGAACAGCAACTTTCTCTTGAAATCCTTTTGCAAGTACTGAGGAATCCTTTTATTTATTATTGACAGTGAAGTTCCCTAAAGTTTCCGCTAAGGGTTCTAAGCAGAACTTTTTCTTTTCAAACGAGACACCTTTGAAACAAATGACTCAAATCAAGTCATTATCAGAAAATTGAGAGGGTGGGGTGAAGGTGGGAGAGCTACTATCAAATCTGCACCACACATTTTCATCAACACCAAACTTACTTCAAAGGACAGGATCTCAAAATGCCATTAATACTCTAAAGCAATGTATTATTTTATTATTCTGATTTCTTAAAGGGAAAATACAGGTTTTTCTTCCGACAAAACTACATAGAAAAGTCACAGTGTGACAGAATAAGCCAGCAAGTTAGATAGATGTTTAATTTTTTCAGAAAAGCATTGTGCCTTCCTCTGCCCACTGTTCAGTTTCAGTGACTGAAAACTGAGGGGATTCCATACAATCTGTTTTTGGGTCATGCATGCCTTTATCTTTATCTGTCTGCAAGGGCAGACAGTGGCTAATAGTATGGACAGGAAGAAATCTCAGATTCCCTCAGACCTAAAGTGCCACACTGAGTATTTGCTTAAAGAGCAGCAAGGATGCCTTTCAGATTTCCTTGGGGAGTGAGCAGAGTGTCACTTTGCATGTGGCCTGAAACTCTTCCTTATTACTAATTTCCTCAACTTAGGCCTCGGTGCCAATATTAGTTAACACACTTCTAAAAGAAGAATGAAATCTGCCTACATAATGAAGGAATACGAGTCCATAAACCCAGCCATAGGAAACCTTAAGTTCCCAAAGAGAAAGAAGATAAAAAAAGGATTATCTCCTGGGGGGCTGGGCAGTGAGTCGTAACCTCACCTGGCTACTCCTACCGTTAAAAGGGAGAGCAGCATCTCACCTCCAAGTGTCCGAAAGCCATTTTTCCACCCACGCTGTGCTTCCTCTGCCCGCTGAGCAAAGCGCGGAGGAGTTTCTCATTCCCTCCTCCAACCCAACCCCGCCTTTCTGAGCTGTGCTCTTGCAAGAAGCGGCCAGTTCCCGCGCTTCTCCTTACTAAGCTGCTAAAAGAGCATATCTCTCTCTCTCTCTCTCTCTCTCTCTCTCACACACACACACACACACACAAAAAACACACATACATATCCCTCCACCGCCATTGACCACTTTTCCCAGAGTAGCACCTCGCTTACAGGCGAGAACAAATACCGACCCTAAGGGGAAAAGCGCCCCCAGAGTAACTTCAATGGAGAGGTGACCCTCCGTTTTGCCTACCTCTACTTCGCCCCATTCAGCTGGAGCGCCGTTGGCTCGCTCCGATTCACACATTCACGAGGGCTTCTTAACCCCCCTTAAAAAAACCCAAAACACTAGGAAAAACAAAAATCTGAACTCCGACCCCTCACTTCCTAAAAAGGAAGAAAGCAGGTGCGGGTAACTGACGGTCTATCCATCTTAGGTATTTAGAGCCCAGTACAACTACGAAAGTTGGGAAAGTTTTGCGAGTCCGCCTTGCCCAGGTAAACGGGACAGTTCTTAGAGATCATAGCTCCTTCCTATACAAACTCCTTTCGTTGATCAGCCTAGTCCAAATGAGAGCCAGTTCCTAAATTAGCAGGCGATTTCAAAGTAGCACTACAGCATATGTGAAATCACACACCTTCAATTACTTCCCACGGACACTCCAGGACTCCAGATGGAAGGTGCTGCTTGCCTTCCCTCACATATCTCGCCCTACTCCAGAGTTTTGTTTTCAGCCTCCTCTTACCCTCCTCCTCCTTTCCCGAGGTAAGAGATTTAATCTTTCAGATAAAGTTTTCAAGAGCCCTTGATCCCATTCCCCAGCATACGCATGCAGATGGACTTCCATTTTATGTATAATTACGTTTATTTCATCTCCGAGAGCCTCTCTTTCCCATTTCCAATTGATAGTGAAAAGCTTGTTGTTTTTTTCCCCGATGCTGCCCCATAGCTCAAAAAAGGGGGAAAATAAGTCTCCGGAACCGGGGAGGGGGTGGGCTGTCTCAAACCCCCGTCCCCCAAAAATATTTTTATCGGTCTTAACGTCGTTTCGATTCTACCCCAAGTAAGAAAACATACGACTTTTGCCTACGGCGAGAAACACTGCCTTCAAAAGCTCTGTCCCTTTTAAAACGGATCTGGCATTAATGGGGTTTTCGGAGCCCCGATTGTTTTTGCAAAAAAAATGTGCTGATAGATCCGTCTATACACAGAAACATATTATGTACAGGGCGACCCATTGAAGGTGGGGAGACTGTAATGCATATTCAGCGTACATAAGAAAGCGGTATTATACAGATACGCGGCGTTATCTTGCGTACGTGATGCAAATATTTCTAGTCGCGGGCGCTGTGCTCCGCTTCTTCGTTGGCTAACTCCATGCCCTGCGAGATGTGATCACACCACCAGCACAAAACGAACAGATGGTCTTTATTATTAGCTATTACAGGTGACAGGGGTGGCTATCCAGAAAGGCATCTTACTTTTCCCACCCTCCGAAATCCTTAGATGATTTCATTCTTAGGGCCGAAACTCCTCTGCAGTCCTGGAGCAGGTCGCTCGCTTCATACCCGACTCCCTCCCTCCCACCCAAACACCGGCGGTGTCGGAAGCCGGGAGGTAATCGCCTTGTAGCCAGATGTCTTTCGAGAGGTGAGGGGGTTAATCTATCAACCTATAAAATTAACCGTGATAGAGAAGCCTATCCAAGAATCCTACCACCACACTCCCTCTCCGCCCCCCCTTCACCTCACTAACTGGCACATATGGAGAATCAAAGCCTTCCCAGACCTTTTCATCACGTGCGGCCCCTCGCGCAGCTAACCCAGTTCAGAAAATGCGCCGTAGTCTCGGAGGCAAACACACACTCGGGGGGCGCGATCCTGATCTGTCCTTCTTTATCAATGCCTGGGGACGCTGGTTGACTTCAACAAGGAAGGAAATAGGCGGAGGCGCTCGGCACGGGGCGGAAAGGTGCCCGACGCTCTCCTTTCATCTGGATTGCATCGGGAGCAAAGGGAAGCGGCATGCAATTGCGACCTCGAGAGCGGTCCCGAAAAAGCCCTCGTAGCGGGGAAAAAAAGGAGCGATAAACTTTGTGGCCAGCGTTACCTTACCTTCTTTTGCAGACTGTGCCTCCCCCATGTGTGCACTCTGAAGCAGCCAGATGTTACACAAAATAATCCAAGAAGGGAGCCTAGTTTGAAAAACCATGATGCATGAGCTGGAGATATTTAAATAAATCTAATGATATGCATATACATTCAGAGAGACTGCGCTTGGCGTTGGTTCTGCTGCCCCCGCGGCTGCTCCTACTACTGCTGCTGCTGCTGCTGCTCGGTGCGTATCTAAGGGCTTCTGCTGCGATGTGTTTTAATTTGCAGTGCTCTTACGCAGCGCTTCGCTTTCCCTGCTTGCTTTTTTTGCTCTCCGTATTTGCTGCCTGCGAGTCTCCGACTGCAGACCGACCGTTCGCTCCACACTCCAATAATATCAATAGGCGCGGAGGGGGAGGAGGGAGAAAAGGGGCAGGACCAATGGAGAAAGAACAGCCCGTCCTTCAAAATGACTGGCAGGCCACGCCAACCTAAGAGAAAGCGGAATCACGGCCGCCGGACCACGAATCGTTCCATCTTGAGAGGCGGAGCTAAACGACTCATCCAATAAACGGGGAAAAGCGTCAGGTTGCGGCCGGTCTCAGATTCTCTTTCAGCGGCTTTTATTTCCCTTGGAGTGCCTATTTCTAGCCGGCGCAGTTGGCCGGGCGGAGGAGCCTGGCAAGTTTGTTAGCAGGGAAAGAAAGCTCTGGTATGTTTCTTTGGAAGGAAAAAAATAAAAAAGCCACCAATCAGGAAGCTTGGCTGGCAAAATCTTCGCTCCACGAGGAGTCAAAAGGCAACGCCTCCAGCTTATCCAGCCCAGAACCTCCTGAGACTAAGGAGAGCTGCGAAGAGTCGGCAGCTGCTCCTATCTTTCCTCATATTCCTGCGGGACAACCGAGAAGGAAGGAAAGCAGTGGTTCTCCCGGCCCTGAGCGGTGCTCCACCTGGGAGAGAAAAGCCCTACCTGCTTCCTTCCGTCCTTCCTTGGCGGGATAACGCCCGGCCCAAGTAGCCTTCATCTTTCCCCGTTGAATGAAAAGAAGGAGAAGTGGAGGGGTCTCCCTCCATCAAGAGCGCCGTCTTCCTTTGCTCCCTCTCCAGAGGGAAGGCCAAGGAGAGGCGGTCGGGGGCTGCGTGGTCTGTCGGCTACACCCCCTTTTTCTAAATGGTTCAAGTTGGGGCCCCATCCCTCCTGTAGCTCTGCTGGCCGTCCGCAAACAGAGTCTGCTTGGGGGGGGGGGGGAATTTAAGAAAAAAAAATGGGAGGGAGGTCTGCAGGACGGTAGCAATACTCCTAAATTGCTCAACCTCGCCCAGAAAGGGGAGTAGGAAGCCGGGCTTTTTTTCAAGGCTCCCTCCTGCGGACCTCAGAGGGGGCGGTGTTTTTCAAAAGGCCCCCAAGGGAGCCTATCCCCGCCCGCGCGTTTTTTCCAGACGCTGCAGTGGAACAAGAGAGAAGAGTTGGCTGTTTACGTTCTTGTGCGGATGCTCATCGCAAACGATCCCTCCTCCCCCCCCACCGCTTCCTAATGAAAGTGGATGGTAAAGCTATCTTTAACATAAAGGAAAGTGATTGCAGCGATTCGAAAAGCGAAACACACGCCAAAACACGCACACGCTATTTAATACACAGCTCGACTTTTCGGGTCTAAAAAGGTGCCGCGATGGAATTGCAGCTGATGACTTTTGGGACAGAGCTGCAGCGGTGTGCAATCGGGTGCTTGTGTTTTCTTTGAAAATGTTGGATTCATAAAGTCCGATATGTCTGTTCCTATATAGCCCAAGCTGATCCTGTTGCTGCGTTTATGAGCTACTTCTACACAATAGCAGAGTAGTCAGCAAAATACAAATTCTGATAATGTTATTACCGCTCAAATCACATACATCAGTGTCATTATTATTTCCTGACCTCAGATCCTCCTCTTGCTTTTAGGCATGATTTTCTCAAAAAAATTGTATTAGATGTAGCGGGAGTTATTTTCCAAGCTTCTAATATCCCTGGCCACTGCTGGCTAATACTATTCCACAACTCAAATGAGGTTATATTTTTGTATGGAGATCATTCTAAAGTTGAAATAAGTGTGTGTGGGTATTTGATTACAATTTCTAGTACCCAAATAGGTTTTAAATTGCAGTATCCTTAGCATTCAAAATATCAGGAATTTAAAAAAAAAATCAGATTTTTTAAAAGATTTTTTTTAAAAATATATGTCATTTGATCTGCCAGTTACAAGTATTTGCAATAAAATATTTGGTTCTGTTTCTGAAGCAACCATTGTAAAACTTTTAAATTGCTTTTAATTTAAAACTTAACCTATATTTTTCCTTGATTTTTTTTTCTGAAGTAAAATTATTTTCACTAGCAATATTTTTTGGGTAGTGCGTTCTACTGTCTTCAGCACTCCAGTATTTGTGAAGAAATCAGTTTAATGATGACATAAAGCTAGTTGCTATTCAGCATTTTTTCCTCCTGGAAGATTCAAGTAGAGGCAACTTCTAATCAGACAAGAATTTTATTGCTTTCTTTTGTAAAGAAAGTTGTCAGTTTTTTAAAGTTCAGCCCAATGATGCAAAGCATGCTTTCTCAGCAACATAAAGGTGAACAACATCTTATTGTTGTTTTAGGCATCTTAGTAATGCCTTTGTATAAATTGAATATAGAATAAATCCTTTTTTTGTCAACAACAGCAAGACAGAGTTGCTTTGTTAAAGAACCCAATTTCTTACTGTAAAGGAAACATTTGAATTCCTGGATGTGAAAATGATTTTAACAGAATGCAAACTTTAGTAATATTTATTTTGTTTTTATTTTTGAGGGGATTTTTTTTTTTGCCAACCATGTTTTGATTTTTCTTCCCTGAATATAAATAGTAAGTATGCTTTGAAAGGACACTGAAAACCTGCGAATAGAAACTTGATTCCATCTTTGGAATTGATTCAGAATTAAAAGAGAATTCTGAATTTCCAGTTTACAGGAGCTACAAACCGCCCGTACACCTATGTATATATTCCATATACTTTGCATAAATACCTGCATATACCTAGAAGAAGAAATGGTATCTAAATATGACTGTGTAAAATTGTATTATTTTCTGAGTTAATGTTATGGATCAAAATGCAAAATTTGTTCTCTGCAACTGTAGAATAAGGACACCAAAAATAGAAAATCAAGGAGTTTGTACTTAAAAAGAACAGTTTTGTTGTTGCTAATTTATCATATATTTTTAAAAATCCACATTTTTGGTGTATAGATTTTTTCCATGATTTCTAGACAGATAACCTTGCCAGTTATTAATGACACAACAATTGGCAGAAAAGAAACTGGTAATGTACTTTATTTGCCTTTCAATTTCTGGTAGCAGGCCTGTATTCAGAAAATAAATAGTTTATCATGAAGTTGAAGGTCAATACATCTATATCTAAAATAAGGTAAGACACTTGGTGCCGTATACATAAAAGTAATTTTTGCAGCTCTCACAAAGAGGGATGGCAGGTTTTCAGGACAGGAGAGAATTTTGCAGCAGAGAGCTAGACAACCTTAGAAACCACATTGTTCCTGTCCTAGATGATTCTTGTGATGACTTGTTATCAAGACATTTGCATATTAATTCTCTTTTTGCAGAATGTAATTGTGATTTTATCCTACTGTGTAATAAGTTACCGTACAGCTAAACCTGACTCGTGATGATTTAAGGAACACATATTGTTTTCTGGGAACAATACCAAAGTAGCCTGTCTTCTGGGATGTTATTTCAACTACTCCAAGATTTCATGGTGGTCTCCCCAATAAGTACCGATCAAGTCTGCATGAAAATAACTCACATATAGAATTTAACAACTACCGTCACCAAAATCACCATATTCAGGAGAGTTTCTTTTAACAGTAAGAAACAGTTTCTTCAGATCCAAATTTTGGAAGAACAGGATTTCCTGGTTGCTGGGCTATTACATGGAAAGGAAGCATTGCATGGATGACTTGACTAGGTAAGACCTGTGATAGAGTAGTCAACATTTGTTTTTGAAGCATGACAATGAATTGTGAAGTATAGTCTGAGTATTGCTGAACAAATGATTAAATATGAAAAGAATATTGGTTTGGCAATATTTTAGCCGTAATCACTTTTCTCCAACCTGTTACCATCCACGTGTGGGAATAGCTGTTTGTTTCAACATTTACCCTAAGCCAAGGTTTGTTTAAGTATGGTTTGTTGAATAAATCACAATTGGGTAGCTTCACATTACACATTAAGCCAAAGTCATTCTATCTTAGTGCAACACACCCCTCTGAGGTGTTCTTTCAATTTATCTGGAAGGAAAAGTTGTTTTCAATATGGGTTTGGCTAATATATTTTAAAAGTAACTCACTACTCAACACATTCAAGATTTGATGTGCATATTGTCTTTTGGGACCCAAATAGACCAAAAGAAGTGAGGAAGAGAGAAAGAAAAAATTAATAATTATCTAAAGATAAAACTTTGAAGTTCATAGGGATTTTGCCAGAAAAATCTATATAGCATTGTGTAATTCTCAGAAAATCTGTCTTTCAACAAATGGGCTGTTTCCCACATAGTGCCAATGGATATTGGAGTTATCCTAACCCATTATTTGAATATGCTGGATGGCAGACGAATAATTAGTGACATTGACTGTTATTGTTTATGACTTAGAAAAATGGCTCCCAGAAGCCTCTTTCCAGCAGAAGTTATAGATATTTAACTTTATTTATTCCAGCTGTAGGGCTCTCAAATTCTACAAGGGTAAATTGGAGGCATGTTGCTTATATGCTTTAAATGATGAAGAAGCAGTTTATATTAAGTCAGTTGCCATGTAAACATGCTCATTGTATTGTCATATGTATACAGTCTTCAACTGAAGAGAAATAGATCACAACCTCTTGATTCTAAGTACAGTAACTTTGCTTGCAGCTGATTAGTTAACTTTGGTGGTTTCGTGAGCTCTTCTTTTCTCCTTCTAGAGAAAGAGTTTATATCTTTAAGCAAATGTTATAAATATTTAAAAGGATGCCCAACTGCTGTTTAAATGTGAAGCTAAGGTACAATTAATTGTTTAAAAAGAGAGAGAGGACAGCAACATATTCAGGAGATGGATAATTGTGTGCTGTTTGCCTTTAAAAAGGCAGTGAAGGCATAGAACCTAGGTGTCAAACTCGATCACATCACGTGACGTATCATGATGTATCACGGCATTTTTTGCCTTTGCAGAGCTGGGATGGGCATAGCCTGGATGTGATGCATCCGCCCTATGTGCCGCCAGTTTGACACCCTTGGCATAAAGAAACGGCTCAGTCTGCAAGGATGAAATCTGCACACTGGAAGTTATTTCATTTAGAGCTAATAGGATGCTTATCAATCAAAGCATAGCTTTAAAAGTAAAATAAAATCTTGTTGAATTCAATTGATGCAAAAGGAAAATGGGAAACTGAAATGCCAAAATAAATGTGCACAGAGGCAGGACAATAATTAACATTTATAGCAATAGTTTTTCCTTTAAAACTTTTCAGAAAATATTAAATGGATAAAATATCTATTTTAATAATATATAGTCAGAATTCCTTCTTCCATTGCTGTGGGGTTCCCCCCCCCTTATTTGTCATTTTACTTTTGCTGCTTTTAACTGTTCAACCACTATTTATCCATTTAAAACTGCATACATTGCGTAGCTTTTCTTTTCTTAAGTGAGAGATCTTTCTCTATTGGCTTATCACACTTTACCTTAACAATTCCTGCTTCTTCTGTTCTTTTTCTGCTTCATGCTAAAGCAAATCCTCTTTCCCTTCTTTTCTTCATAAAGATTCCTGAAAGTGCTTTCTCAAGCAAATCATCCTATTAGACTACTCCTTCAACCTCTTTCTTCAAATCACTCCCACAAAGATCTTGAAATGATCTTTATCATCCTCCATAAAATCATTTCTTGTAGAGGTACAGGTATTGTAGATTAAAACTGCACATTAATATGTCTATTATCTGTTCCACATATAAATAGCTTTATCTGAGAACAGCTTATTTTGTTTATTTATTTACTTCAAGATTTATAAGGCTGCCCAACTCAGACATTATGACTCTAGGCAGCATACCACATAATGCACACACCTGGACATCATCATCAAGCAACAAATATACATAAATACAAAGCTAAAATGGAAA